CTCTCTTGAGGAAATCCCATCCCCCCCTCTGCGAAATGCAAGACTCAAACTGTTTTTATGCTAGAGCAGGCTGCCAATTTTGTCACTAAATTTCACAGATCGATTGGCATAAATGTTACATTTTAATTTTAACATTTGAAACGTTTGGGTTTTTTTTTTTCCCCCTTTTTTTTTTTTTTTTAAATGACAAGAGGTTCCAGTTTATCCTTTACAGCTAGTGAAATTGGGCTCATCTGACAGCTCTCGGCTCCTCTGACAGCTCTGGATTTGGGCCGATTTCATTGTCAATTTGATGGTTAACTCATTTTTGTTTAACCTTTTCTTTTCAAATGCCCCACACAAAGTTACCACCAAAGCCTCACGCACGACAACAAATAGTAAAAGCCACGACGGTTTCTGCTTTCAGGGGCTGGCAGCCCCGCTGGGAAAGGATCGTTACCTTTAAGCGACTGCTGGGTTTAGGAAGATTAAATTTAGCAGATTTTGCTCCTTCCACCGTTTTTAATTCGAGCTGAGCCAAAGCTCGGAGAACCAACCACCTTTTGGCACCAGCTTCAGGGGCCAAAACTGCGTGCCTCAGTTTCCCCATTCGTCCCATGGGGTTAATTAACCGTTCCTGTTAAATCCTGAAGACGAGTTGAGGTTTTCAGTTCCCATTCCTGAAGACGAGCTGAGGTTTGAGCATTAGGAAGACGAGCAGAGTTATCTCCCTCCTGGCTCTTGCCATTGAGAGCACCCAAACGCTTACGAATTTCACAATAACGAGCACAAACTCCAAACACCCTTAGCAAGAACCCCCACGGGAAGCACTCGCCGTGCTTTAATTAATCAAGACGAGAGCGCACGACACCGGCCTTGCCGTGCTGCAGCTCGTCACGTTCGGGAAGCGACTTGTAAAACATGCAAATGGAAAAAAAATCCACCCACAACAAAAAAGAAAAGCAAAAAAAAAAGTGTCCAAAGATGAAATCCGAGAGTTGCAGAAGTCGCATTTTGCAGGCAATGAGCTCATCTTGGTCTTCCCGTTCCAGAAGGGAAAGACGAAGCTGAAGATGTTGCAGGGGGCTGGGTGGATGTCGTTAAATTGATAAATAACCCCGAGCACAACGATCTCCATCCCCCAGGCAGGTTTTACACGATGAAGCGAAGGTGCGCGGGGAAAGGTGGGAACCCTGGGTGAACGCGCGGCGAGGAGCTAAGGTGGAATTCGGAGAACTGGCCACGAGCGCTAAAAAATGCATTTCCCGGCGCTCGCAAACAAAGCGAGGAGAGAGACGTTAAAATACTTACGATGGGCGTTCCAAAGGGAATGTAACCTATTAGGGGGAAAATAAAAGAAAAAAAAGAAAAAAGAAAGAGATGCATGCATTTTAATAGACAGTTTTGGGATGGGGAAACAAACAAATCACATCTAAGACATCTACCATGAAACCACGCTGGGCGTGACGGGCTGTGCTCGCGTCCACCAGCTCAGTACCACCACGGGTTTGTCCGTGGACCTACATCTTCTGCACCAAGCATCAACCTCCCGATTCCTGCCCCATTGCCTTCCCATCCTCTATTTGCTTTTCTTGGGTTGTGGTCTAAGAGGCGCCCCCGAGACATGGAGCATCTAGAGCCCTGAAGCTCACTCCAGCAAAGCCCGGTCTGTGCCGATACGGCGTATCAGCGCTTCGGAGGGCGTTGGTGAGCTGGGCTAGGCTCAAAACCTCAACTCAGCAGAAGGGAAGAGATGACAGCTCAGAGCAGGAGGTCCGGACCAGAAGGAGCTGGGTGCTGCCCTGGTGGAGCTCCCCGAGCTGACCCCATGGTGCCATGGAAGGGGGGAGATCCTCTCCGGGCTCAGCCACGCAATGTGTTCCCTCCCTCGTGCCAGGTCCATCGCTCATCAGACCCTCCTACAACCTAGCCAGGAGAAAACTCCTTGGCTTTCTGTGGCCCTTCCCCTCTCGTTGAGCCCGGTCCCACCAGGAGAAGGTGCTGAGGATGCTCCTGAAGTCACCCAACAAGTTGCAGTCAAGGAGCCACCATAGGTGGGACCTCTCTCTTTCACCATCTGCTTTATCAACCTCCCCGTTAGTGATTTTGTACCAGGAGAGCTAATTTATGTCAAGGTCAGGAGATAAAGGCACAGAGTAGAAGGTGAAGCAAGAACATTTGCCTCACGGAGGAGAGCGGGACTATTTTGATCGTAGGTGTAAGTTAAATATCTGTACATTAGACATAAGCCTTTATCCCAAATCCTATTGAGCGCCACAGAAATCAAACGCTTCACATTTTCCCCTGCTAAGTCTGCCAATTCTTGTGCTAATTATAACTCATCTCTATGACTTCCACTAGAAGGTCTCAGAGCATTTTACCAATATTACTGAATTAAGCTTCATGGATCCAATTTACAGTTGGAAAGGGCAAAGACCTGAGCGGAAGAAAAATTTAAAAAAACCCCACAGAATAAGGCGGTAAAGGAGTGGGTCCTGGCTCTTCTCTCCTCCACTTCACCCTCAATATCACCCTTCCTTAAAAACTGGAAAACAAAACCCACCAGCCCTGTTATTTTTCCCCTGTGCCCAGTATTTGGGCGAAGATGTTCCCTGAAAAAATATGGAAAAGGCTCCAGTTATTTAAATAGATCTTTTGGGAAAGGGCTTGTATCACAGAATCCTAGAATGTCTCACGTTGGAAGGGACCTCAGAGATCATCTAATCCAACCCCTGCCATGGGCAGGGACACCCTTAACCAGCCCAGGTTGCTCCAGGCTCATCCAACCTGGCCGTGAACACCAACCAGGGCAACCAGGATGATTTGGGGACTAGAGGGTCAGTCTCACAAAGAGAGGCTGAGGGAGATGGGGCTGCTCAGCTGGAGAAGAGGAGGCTGAGGGGAGACCTTTTCACTCTCCACAACTCCCTCAAAGGCAGCTGTAGCGAGACGGGTGTTGGCCTCTTCTCCCCAATGAACAGCGATAGGACAAGAGGGAACAGGTTCAAGTCGCACCAGGGGAAGTTTAGATTGGATATTGGGAAAAACTTCTTCACCAAAAGGGTGGTGAAGCATTGCAATGAGTTGCCAAAGGAGGTGATGGAGTCACCATCCCTGGATGTGTTCAAAAAACAGCTGGATGTGACACTTGAGGAGATGGTTTGGTGTCAGGGTGGTGTAGGGCTGTAGGTTGGACTTGATGATCGAGGTTTTCTAGGATCCCAGCCCCAGGGAGGGGCCAGCCCCAGCCTCTCTGGGCAGTCTCGTCCAAAGTCTGGCCACCCTCGCACTGAAAAATTTCTTCCCAAGATCCAATCCAAACCCATTCTCCTTCAATTTAAACCCATTTCCCTTGTGCTCTCTCTGGACACTCTTGTCAAAAGTCCCTCCCCAGCCTCCCTATAGGTCCCTTCAGGCACTGCAGGCAGGGATAAGGTGCCCTCAGAGCCTTCTCTTCTCCAGCTGAACAACCCCAGCTCCCTCAGGCTGTCCTGAAGAATGATCCCACCCAGAGCAGAGGACTTGTGCATGGCAGAGGAACACCCAAAATGTGAAGGAGGAGGTGACAATTTAATAATCAAGTAACCCAGTTAAGCCACGGACAAGCTGATCCTTCCCGGGCTCCAAGCCACAGCTGTTCGGGGCCACCTTGCAGGGAAAACCAGGGCTCATCCCATTCAAGTTTCATTATTTACTACAAAATTAAACCGCCCATTACAGTGACGGGGACCTCCAAAAGGCCAGGAAAGACATTAGCTTGAGTCCACGTTAAAATATTGGAAGAAAAGGAAAACATGAAGTGCTAGACTCGCTTGAGTCCACATTAAAATACTGGAAGAAAAGGAAAATATGAAGCGCTAGACCTCGGATTCTAATTCTCCTGGACTGCAAAGGGATTTGGGCGTTCCAATGACTTCCTGATCTGGGTCCAAGTGTTTACAAGACGCAGTTCAAAAGCAGGATTAAAAAGGAAAAAATCGAATAACGTTTTGTACGAATTCCCAGTAAATTGGGACTTACCGTACCTGACATTCGGAATGGCATGAAGATGGTCTCGTTTGTGTCGGGATGGATGATGGCCTGGAAAACAGTCAGCAAACAGACAGCGTGAAGGGACAGCGAAGCCGGCACCTACAAAAAGCATCTTCAGGTGGAGAGAAACAGGGACTTTGTGCCTCTTGGCACCCTCCTTGCTTTTCCCGAGGCAGTTATTGTCCGGTAGCCTCCAAAAAACCTCTGCCTGACCCTGTTTTCCCCTCTCCTTACATAATTTAGTGTGAGTTAATAATTTAGACGTAAACTCAACCTTCTTGGCTCTTTCTTGGTGCTATAATATCCCCAAAGGCCACCCACAGCTGTACCTTAAGCCCAGGGGTGGAAAAGGCAGATTAAGGAGGGGGAAAGGGAAATCTGTTTTCTCTCCCAGCCTTTTTTCCTCAGCATTTCCAGTGTCCTGGCTGAAACTGTGCCCTGTGAAAAAGAGGAAAAGCCCTCACTGTGGCAGGCGGATGTGCAGGGCAGGGCTGCTTGCTCGGGAGGGGTGTAAAAATCACTTTATGCTGCCCGTGAAGCAAACAGGAGGCATGAGAGCCCCATAAGGACTAAGCCAGAATGGACAGATTCAGACCAAGGAACATCTTCCCCACCTGCAGGTCATGGGGAACCCAAAACGCCGCTTCGGGACCTGGTTGGGTTGGGGTAAATACGTGCAGGTGTGGCTACGCTGGTCGTCCCCGTAAGGGTGACCCAAAAATTCAGATTTGCCCAATCCTTCAACCTTTACGTTATTCTGCAGCTCCTCGGCTGTGGGAATCCTAAATCCTTGGGAACCCTGTATCTGTTTTACCAAAAAACACACCACAAAGCTCACCTGGCCCGATTTTTACCAATTTTTACCCAGGAGGTTGCACTGACATTAACTGGCTGGGGAGAAAAAATAAAAAAATCAATCCCCAAGCGCTCCAGGACTGCAGAGGAGGAAGGTACGACACAGTTACGAGCCTTCCCAAAGAACTGTCAAACTATTTCCAAAAGACTGGAGACAAGAAATCTTTTGACTAGACGGGAAGGAGAAAATGAAGACATCAAAATATATAAATATAAAAAAAAAAAAAAAGAAAGAAAGAAAGAAAAATCAGACTCTTTGGTGGCAACAGTGTTCTCTGCATTTACATTTCTGTGGCAAGACAAAACAGCAACTGGCAAAGCCAATAATGGAGAGGAGGACAGCAGCGCTTAGCAGGAAGGGGAAAAGCAGCGACAGGGGGAAATAATGAAATATATTTACAAAAAGAGTATTACCTGCTTTATTTTTTGAGCTCCCCACAGCTAGGAAGAAAAGAAAAAAAAAGAAAAAAAAAAGAGAACATGGCATTTAAAAAAAACCCCAACAAGCAGTGTAGTTTTATACCAAACCCCAAATATTCATCTTTTAGCTGCTGTAGTAAACGAACGCGAGGGACTGCTTTAAACCAGATTCATTTTCTGCCTCCTTCCAGGATATATTTAAAGCTCCTTTACGCACCCCGAGCTCCTTCAAATCTGCGTGGCCGCTACGACCAGCAAGGCAGAGAAGACGTTCTCCTTCTTAGATTTGCACGGTAAGAAAGAACAAGAGCAGGCAGGCTTCACGCTCTGCTGTAAAGCTTTACAAACCGAGAATTAGCTCGGTAACTCTGCCGCACGTAGATCTGGAGGTAAATTTAGCACAGCCTCTGCTTGGACGAGCTCTCTGCAGAAATCCAGCCTTGCTGGGGACCAAAGGTGGGGCAAAACTGGCAGGGAAACACATAATTTATCCCTTCTTAGTTCAGAATAAGCCAGTCACCGGCTTTTGTTTGTCACAAGGAGGAAAACTCACTGAAAAATGCTTGTGAGGAGGTAAAGAAAACCCTCACGAGCACTTATACTTCTTTACTGACTAATTCAGCAGCATCCAAACACCTCAAATCAGGCTCAGCCGGCGGAGATCTACGAGCACCGAGGAAGAAACACCCTCAGCGAGGTGCACGTAGAGTAAGGACACAACACGGAGAGATGCTCTGGCATGGACGTAAACCCAGAGTTTGCCTGCTTAATAAAGCCAGAACACTTTCCTCCACGAATTATGCTCAATTATTATCTAAAAAACCCATAATAAATCCCTGTTTTTGATGTATGTCATCCTAGAGCTGGAGGAGAACCCAGGGCGCTCCTGTAAAATATCACAACAGATAATAAAAACTGATCTGTTCAGCTCGAGCCTGGCTTCAAGTCCCAGGCGCCGGCGTGCGTTACCCCTCTGTCTGGCAGCCTCCGGCGCCGTCTATTTTTGTTCTTCACGTAGGTACTTGGAGCTGCTAAAAGCACCCTTTAACCTTCGCTTCGAGAAAAAAAAACGACAAAAAATCCCCAACAAAGCAAAACAAAAAAAATATTCGGAAAATTCATCCGAGCCAGGAGACTGGCTGTTTCGCTGGCAAGGCGCGTTTGCCAATCTTTTAACCACCCTCGTGGCTCTTTTACATCTTTCCAATTTGTCAACATCCTCTCGAATCGAGGACGCCAGAAACCAGGCGAATTATTCCAACAACAGTTGTCCCGCTGCCAGAGCAAGGGGAGGTGAACCTGAGCAGTTCTGCTGTTGATAAAATCCGAAGACGGTGACGGCTCTTTTTGCTTGGAGAGCTCGCGATTCCCCACCGGGACATCCACCCGAGCGCAAATTCTGCGGCGCGGGCAGGTTTTACCGTTGTTGTTGAGGTATAAATCGAGGTCTGTCCTGCCTTTCCTCTTTACCCAACGTTTAGCGCCCTCCCAAATACAAACTGGGTAAAATACTGTTGGATTGAGGTAATGACTCCATTACAAATTGCATAAATCGACCCACTGATACCAGCCAGCCCAGGATTTCACCCCAAATCCAGCCCTTGCTCCAGAATTGAAGCTCCATGACGGTGAATTCCACCACGTGCGAGGAGTTACTGGGGTATCTAAGTGGCAGCTAAATGCATGGAAAACTTCTCTTTTTAAGGAAAATTATCACCCCCCCGCAGGCTGGTCCTTCACAGAGGTTGAGGGACACGAAGAGACAGGTCGGCAGGGACAAGGGGCGTCTACTCTCGCCAGTTCTCAAACCCGGAGAGCTGTCAGGGCGTTTCTCCACCCGGCTCGAGGACTTGCATGGGGTGAAAGTGGAAGCCCTCGAGCGGCAAGTGACCACCTGAAGCGTATCCATAACCCTGAGGCCACCCATGAAACCAAAACACAGGATTTCCCTCTCGAGCCGCAAGCACCGAGCCCAGCAAAAAGGAAGAGGGATGGTTTCTGAGCCAGCGCTACGGCTTTTTTGGTCAAATTCTCTAATTTCATTAATTGATCCCAATATTTATGCATTTCCCTGCTGCAGTGCAAATATTGTTAGAACATGCGATTTCATTACTTCTCAGAAAAGAGACTTTACAAGATGCACCTGATGAGTCACCTAAAGATTCTGCCAGCTCATTTTCACTTTTTCATCCCCTTAATTCATTTTCTGTCTGCAGCGTTTTTCAATAGCTCCAGCCTTCTGACAAGTCTCGCCAGCTGGGGGGCTCGTTTCTGAAGAGCGAGTCTCTATTTTTTCGCTGGGGATTTCATTCACGCTCTCTCCGGCCATCTCCGCGAAGCGCCCAGATTTTGATCTCTTTTACACCAGTGCGAATTCGAAGCACCCTCACCGGAGCCCGTGGAACAACTCCAGAATCGTGCTCAGTTTATGTTAGATTTAGGTCCGGGATCTCTAAATATAGCCAGCCTGTACCGGGTTGGTCTCCTGTAACAGACGATCTTCCTTTACATCAGCTTTGCCGTAGATTAGCGGCTCAGTGCTACGTAGAGGTTTTGCCACCATTTAAACTTGGGTGCAAGAACCAAACCTGCTCGGACACGGGTTTACACCAAAGAAAACCAGAGGATGAGGGGGCTGGAGCGTCGGAGCACTGTCAGCATATTCCATTACCTTTCCAGCAATCTAGGCAGGTAGAGATGGAAAAGTTTCTCCAGCCTGTGGCCACTACAACCTTCCACCAGGACAGATCAGGGTCTGCTTCGTGGAGATGTCCTACAGAGTCGTGGAGGAATCGCCTCCCAGCACCAATATTTCAGGACACCGGACTCAGGGATGAGATTTCCATCCAGCCTTGGCAAGATTGTGCTTTTTCTACAGTTTTTGGAGGAAGAAATACTCACTCCTTTGCTCCCCACCTACAGCAGAGAGCTTTAAAACCCTGAACTCAGTTATACGCAAACATTACCTGCTCCTGGTGTTTGAGGAAGGGTATCAAAGACTGCCACAGCCTCCAGAGAACCAAAGTTGCAGTAAGAGACTGGAATAACTCTTGGGGAGTCGACGTGCTCTTTGGTTGACAGGACATTCATTAGCGTTCCTTATTTAGCAGCAGAATCGCAGCTTGGAGATCATTTTCCAAAGAAAAAGCATTTATTTCAAGAATATCTCCAGCCCAAATCTATTAGCTAACACCTGTCACTATAAAAACAGTACAACGGGTACCAGTTATTCTTAAGAGATTAACCACGCTCCTGTTAAATACAGGAAGATTTCATGGTCCTGGACTCAAAGATGGGATTTTTTCCCCCCGTCTCTGCACCAAGTTGCACCTAGATCAGAAAATTGTGTTGACAAATTGCTCGCCCTTGTGATGCCGTGAGAAGGAGCGGCCAGCTCCATCCTACGTGGGAGCAGTCGGCTGCATCTCGCCCACCCACCCCATCGCTGAGGCTGGCCTCGGGGGTGTCCAAGGTCGGGAGAACACCGACAGCTTCACACCACCTCCTCCCTCAGCAATTACAGTCGACGGAGACACGAAGGCGGATCTGATGTTGGGAATCTGTTATAGATGTTCTAACGCCTCCCTCCCTCGGCTGCACGTGCCAACGGGACCCAAGTTCCTGCAGCAGGCTGGAAACGATCTTAAATCCCGGGTGCAGGCTCTGGATATGCCACGTCAGGAATTACTCTGTGGAGAAAAGCTCTTGCTGATTCACTGCGTGTTAAACACACTTCATGACAAGTTATTTTCCAAGAGCTAATGGGGTGAGCCTTGAATATAAGAGAAAACGCAGAAGTTATTGCAAAAACTGTGTGTTAAGCTCTGCACCATCAGCATCACTGACAACAGTTTACAAAAGATAAGGTCAAAGAGGAAATCCTCAGAAGAATGAGTATTTTTAATCAATTTCTTTCATCCGGCCAGTCAAGCCGAGACAGGGTTTCATCTCAAGATCTGCTCGTCCCCTTCCAGCTCCATCAGGGAAGTTCTCACCCTTTCATGAGACCCCGCCTGCACCCACGAAATCTTGAATTTAATAAAGTAACAGCCTGGAGTTTGCACCCCATCAGAAGCTGCCGGTGGTTTCACACTCTGGGAGCTGCAAGGTTTATTAAAGCGAAGCTCGGATTATCTATCCCACACTGAATTCCAAATATTGGGTGTCGGGAGCGGAACGTGTGATGCAGCACAGCTCGTTCCGAAGCTGCCGTTCGGAGGGACAGCCTCGCAAACCAGATGCGCCTTCCAATAAACCCCAATTGTTTAAAGGATATGAAACCCAAGGGAAAAAAGTAGAAGGACAGAAGAGAAATCCTTGCTCAAAAGGCGTAACTTACTGACTGTGCTTGGAAAGTTCACGAGGAGCACTTCAGACCAAAAAGAAAATCCCAAAGCGTCAAGCACCTGCAGCTCGTACCGCCTTCAACTTGGCTCACAAAGAAACGCTTTCCTTGGATTCCAGTGGGAATTTGATGGAAGTTGAAGATCTTACGCTAGAAGGTTTAGGAATCCCAGACTTAGGCACTACAACTTTTCCAAACCGATCTCCCAGCCGAGCAAATCTGGTCCTTCCCCAGGGCCACCAGCCTGAGCCAGAAGGACTCAGCAGCAGCTCCACCCTCCCCATCAGCAGGCTTAGCTCATGCTCATTCTTCATCATAAGGTTATTAACCAGGAAAAACCAGGAAAGCTCACACGATCCCATTTGCCAGCAGCACTGTGGGACATTTCCATTTGAAACTGCTCCTCGCAGCCTTTTTGGTAAGAAGGTAGAGTCTTGCAGCGAAGGCAGCCGGAGGAGAACATCCATCCACAGCCTCCCCGCTGGACACCCACTCACTGAAACCCGAGGTCCACCCTAGAAACAGATGTTTTTCCTTGACATTATTTCACTTTTCTTTCTCTGTGCTTCTGGTTGGCTTGGCTTAAGTTTAAACGGCGAAGGACAAAAAGCTCCCAAATGCCCAGGGCATCGCACCCTTCAACACAGCATCCTCTCTTACAGCACCACGTTTTTTC